AAACTTTTGCTTCCATTGTTTAGATCACCCTTTAAAGCGTCCTGTAATTGCTAAAAGAACGGATGATTGGTAGAGGGCTATGCCCAGTATAAATAATGACGTACCTACAGCCGAGTCAGCTCGATCACGGTAAAAGGACGCGGCCTGGACAAGTATTGCCCAAGAAGAGTATTTGAGATTTGAAAACGAATCCGATCTCACAAAAAAGCATTTATACATCAGTCGTTTTTGATTACAAGTCTCTAGTATGGAAATCAGAAGATAATGCATTTATAATGAAAAATCGGCTAAGCTTAATAAATTGATGTTACTGTACAACTCATACTAAGCAGTGATCGAATCTTGTTACGCTGCACTTAATTAGACTAACTGTTTAAATTATTCAGATATGGTTGTAGTATATATCTTTCTAATATGTTCCTGATAAACGGTTTGTCTGATTTTTAATATGCATTTTCTTAATTATTAATTTATTACAGAGAGAGAGAGAGTTACATCCTTGTGGTAAGTTTGTTAGTGCTTTTGTATCCATTGGATGTCATGTTTGGATGAAAGCCTTAAAATTGAACAATTGTTGGACTAATAGCGTACATGTCTAGACATACAATCAATAAATTAGTTATACAGTAGATTGTCTGCATATCGCCACTCGCTACGGGTAAATGTGAATCCATTCTGTAAACTAAAGAGACAGAACTCGAATCCAATCTTTATTGACCAATTGCTTGGGTACATTTACCCTTGCTTTGACTGAAAGTTAAGAAATTACCAAAAGTGCTTACATAAATAATTGCGAAACATAAACAATTCTCGCGTTTGCATTTCTAACTGTAGTTTGAAACGGCTTTCTCGTAACAAGTGGGAATTTACAAATAGAATCTTTTGCTGATATCACCTCTAACGCTTGTTCGATGTAATAAAACAATTTATCCCGCATAACGTTTCTGAAATGGGCGTACGGATTTAATGCATGACAAACATTGTTAGCTTAATGCAAGCGATCCATTGATATATTTTACACCAGACGTTTATACTCTTTCTTCTTCGTCTTAGTGCGTAACATCAGTCCCAGCGAATGAACATAAAGTATACTATTCCTTGTTACGAGAGGATTAAAAAGCTTAAAGATTGCATTTACTGTTCTTTCGTTCGAACAAAGATTCATCTTGGAAGAAACACGTAGAGTCGAAAATATTCGTCTAGACATGTGGCTATCGTGTCGACTCGTATGTGTAACGGGCTAATACAATCACGATTCGTACAATCGCTAATCACACAAGCCCATAATGAGAGAACATCCATGTTTAGCCCATCGCGTTCACACCAACTATAACGCAAGTAATTGCCACAATAAGTTTTGCGAGTAGGTAATATCTAAGTGTAAATAAACCGATTACGATATTGATTTAAGTTATTAACTACGCGTACTGTACAGTACATTAGCATAATAACGTGCATGCAACTGATGGCGAAGGAACAAGTGAGGACGTTGGAAGACCTGATGGACGGGATTGAGAAGCGTGTTACTGATGCCATTCACCGACGTAAAAATTACGTGTATGACTTTATGAATGCTTGACTATTTATTCTATACAAACGCATATTTCTTGTCACGTGAAAGGATATCAGACTATATAAAAAAGGGAATATAATACACAGACCATTTAATAAGTGCTCGAGCTAGCTTGACATTTTTTATTGTTGGATTTATAGGTTTTTTTGCAATTTCAATTTTCTGAGCAAGTTAGTTTATGCATATCGCTTTTTATCTGTCGGCGTCATTGTAGAACGCTTTGGTTATCACGCATTTGCTCAACAGAACTCATGTCTGTATAAAGACAAGAATATTGCGAGCACTTTTCATAGGCGAGTTTGATTGGCCAAAATATGCAGCTTATAGTCAATGTTCGGTTTACAAGGGCGAGTAATATCATTGTCTATTAGCTTAAATAAATGATTGCGTTTTTAATTACTATTGGGGTAATTTTCGATATGTCTGGTTCACCAAAGTAATTTAAAAGTGCGGATTCAAAAAGGATTATTGGATTTTGACAGAGCTTCCAGATTAACGAGGTTGACCATGTATTACGATTACTTTACAAAATATCTGAAATAAACAAATTACACTTTCTCTTATATTCTCCACCAGTTGTCTAAAAATTATAAGCTCTTCGAGCATTGCAGTAATAGGCAAGTTATATCGCAAGTCTGATACTGCGTCAAAACGTCAACATACCGCGTATTGTGACATGCAAAACACGCTTTATCTTTCTTTTGATGATAGCGTCAAATTTATTGGTTTATTATTTTTTTGAGCTCCAGTATCGCGTCATGGAGAAGATCATAAACTCTTCCATAAACTAGCTTTTCTAAAATTAGTTCTTGTTCTTTTGTTGTCATATTATTTGATTAATTTGCTTTCTAATTTGTTTACTCGTTTTACTTGTAACTTTTCCACCACTTTATCATATTTTTCTGCGCAAGACGAAATTTGCAAATGTGAGAAATATGATACGTTACGAAAATCCGATCATATGCAATTTTCAATAGAATTTGACGCCATCCCGTATATAAACTTTTTTTTGATGCGCACAAACTCTGAGTATATTAATATACAAAAAAGTTCGAGAATAGGTTACATGTTCTCATGATGTTCGTCTAATCAATAAAGATACAACCCTCTAAGTGCACGTTGTTGGGACCAGACCATCGTGTGAATTAGTAATTCATGTAACACCACATTACATTAATTATTGTTTGTTAAAATTATTATGGTTGTTTGTCTCATTTGACTATTTGTCCTACAATTAACAAAATTTTCAAGACTGTTTGATAATCTTATCTGCTCACTTGTGTCTTCTTGTTGTAACAAAAACAATCATACATTTTCTAAGCCTTTTAATGCGCTACTTATACTGGCATTTACAGGGAATTTCAACGTTGTCATCTATTTCTTCAGCATTCGCCTCATCAAAATCTTTAAATGTCTCTGCAATTTCTCTAATAAGTTAGTTATTATCTGGCATGTCATATACAATATCCTTTCATTAACTGGCATTGGTCCTGAGAGATGAAGCTAATTAATTATTTTACCCCACTACAGACTAATTGACACAAACAAAGATTATAACGACTATGCTGGTGGTCATTGTTCATGCATGTGACAAAATACGAACGATTTAAATTTCTATTTACAAAGAGAATATCAATAATATGATTGGTCAATGTAAATATTAATCATGTGTATCATTTAGGAAACAATGTTTTATACCGAAAAAGTCCCAAGTTCGGAAACTGTGCATTAGGGATTAAATCGTATGCACTTAGAGTTTTATCTGTTAACATGCAACGTACGACAAACCATTGTAATAAATTGGGAGCGGATGAAACATTACGCTTTTTTATACACGTCTGGTCTTTCTAGTACTGCACTATTACGATGAAGATACTATTTGAGTAATTAATTGCTATTCAGTGCCGAATAAACCACTCAGCAAAAGACGAAATAACTCAATGAAAAAAACCAATTGAAAATTAATTAATGACTTATAAACAATTAAACAATCGTCCTGAGTGATCAAAAAACACGGGTTTAATATTATGTTCCGGAAAACTCCGCAATAAATCTAAGCCATTGCCTGGCTGTTACTTTCAAGTAAATTATGGCATGAGCAAGTCTGACAGACGAATTATGGCGCGTACAGTTTGCACCTAAGCCTTATCGCTTGGCATTACTGATTATGCTGTCGGTAACTGATGTACTGTATATACTAATACTGCGAGATGATAATGCAGAAATGGAGCAGCCATTTATTCAGGCTCGAGCTAAAGTATTTGAGAATTGTTCCCCCCCTTAACATACACGCAACAAGAGAGTCAGTATTACAAATTACGTAATTATGAATATTCTAACCAACGTTTAAGAAATAACTTGAACTTCGTTGTCAGTAAGAGAATCAAGTAATTATAGTAATAGGAACAGCAATATAGCAATTATTAACTATGGAAGTGGTGAACTTTTCAGACTTTTATTTCAAATTTAATTACTATGCATGGTAGCAATGAGGCTGATTTTATCATACTATAATATACAAGTCCATCATATGCATAGCATTGTCTAATAAACTGTATCGAACTTACCCTAACAAGATATGTTAAATATTGTCACATAAACTTTTATTCGCCATTACATTGTTCAGTTCTCTACATCACCTACTCTCAAACTCTAATTCCAACTTTCTCAATAATCCCTTCAGACTCTTCCCATTTTTTTCACAGTTTGCTTTCAAGTAATTATCAATCTCATCTCGTAATTCAATCAATTCTGATGTCAATGAAGTATTACAATCTTGAGAATATAAAAAAGGATTTAGCAGAATATCAAAAAGTTGTGACCAAATATTGGTCTGCCAGTAGCGTTTAAAGGGCTGAGCTGGCTTATAATGTTTAGTTAAAATGGAATCAGAAAGTGCAGGTATAATAGACTTGTCAACAACCTCCGTGTTGTTAAAATCTATATTGGAAACCCCAAGTTTGATGCTATCCTCGCAGTCCTCACAATCATTTCTGCTTGCATTCTTACATCCATAACCGCCCTTTTTACTCCCTTGTGTCTCCTCACAAGTAACCTTCATATATGCTCCAAATAACATAACATATATCACACCTGCAACTCTCCAGTAATCTTGTTCCCATTTACAACCACGTCCTTCTCTCATCTCAGTACAGTCACCCTCATCAGCCATCCATTCCATCTCAAACTTTTCCTCTCTGTTAAACAACTTCAAATCTACAGCGCTTCCAAAATCGATCATAATCAAACCCCTTTCCTCCCATCCGTTTTGGTTCGGACAATAGTCAGATGACAATGGAGTATTAGGTGCAAGACGAAGAAGAATGTTGTCAGGCTTTATATCATTGTGAAGTATAGAAACAGAATGTATTGTGGTCAGAAGAGAGAGAAGTGAAGAAGTGAAGAAGAGTGTGAGAAGTTCATCAAGAACAGAATTTTCGCGTGTATACACATTAACTAGATCAAGAAGAGTCCCATAAGGACGATATGTAAGTAAAAGGTAAGACTCATCACGAAATATGTAAGTTTTGGGGGATGAGATCAAAGATGAAGCCAGATATGGAGAATAGGGAAAATGGAGACAAAGACGCATGTGAAGTTGCTGAATTACATAGAATTCCCATTTCGTCGAAGGTATTGAGAGCTTTAAAGCGTAAGTTTGTTCGTTTGGCGTTTTTTGACTTGTCACAGAAACCACTTGATAAACTCGAGCATATCCACCTTCACCAAGCTTCCTCACAACTCGATATTGATCATCGAATAATGTTACATTATCAGCATCGTTAAGTTCTCCACATTGAATGCTATTTTCGATTTCCTTGCTTCTACTTTTACCATCGCGCTTTCCAATCCGTTCAAATATCCATGCTTTCCCACAAACTTTATCCGATAAATAAACTCCAGGATATGTCTCAATCGGGGGAGAAATACTTGTCAATAACGAGTCAAGCAAAAGAGGTGTAATAATAGTAATTCGTTGTGAAGGTGAACGAGTCAAAAGCGGTTGATCATGTGAATGAAGCAAATTCGCGTGCGGGAGTAGAGGTATGAGTGAGAGAGGAGGAGATTGAGGAGTTTCAGATAAAGACAATTTTACAACCGTCCCTTCTTCAGATCCACGCTCTGAAATCGGTGTCAAAGGACAAAATCCTGCTGTTTTTATGACGCCCCTTCGGTCAAAATACTGGTTCCGATCTAGGGTTGAGTCGAATGTGTCTGAAAAGTCGGTTGACAAGAGAGACGGTGAGGATATTGGCGAACCACGGACAGGAGTTGTAGTGTCAGTGTAAATCGAAAAGAGGGAGCTATTCTGTACTGCTGACGGGGTCTTACTGTCATCATGGCCGCGAAAAGTAAAAGTGTCATCTCCGTCCAGACTGATCTAATGTAATTAGTTGCAGTAAGTATCAAATAACATATCGTAAGTACAAAACAAACCTAGCATTCATTTAGTCATACCGAATTCTCCGTGGCATTTTCTTTGTCAACCTTCAAATTTCCTGCCGCCAAGTCATGATTCGCGTAACTATAATCAATATCCGAATCAGAATCGCTCATATCTCCATGCAGAGGTTCATTGAACAATTGCAATATATCAGCCATGGCAAGTTTGGTGTTTATGGTTGGCGAGGGCTTTTGGCGTTTGCGTACTGGCGTCGTGGTGGCTTTGTTAAGAAAGGATTAAAAAGTTGGAAAGGAATAGACAATATGATTAAAAAAATGAATATGCTGCAATTCATCAACTTAAGGGGGAAACTTTTGTCTTACAGGTGGGAGTGTGATCGCACTCAGTCCAGTAATCTTGCCCTCTGGTATTCTTACGAACAGGGCTTGTCAGTTGTTGCTGTTGTTGTGTTTCTAGCAGTAGGTGTTGCTCTTTTTGACAATGTTCCTGTTGTTGCTCATGCTGTCGGTGTGGTGATGAGGATGGGGCTGGAAGTGATTGTTCTTTTCCTTGTTGTAGTCCTTGTAGTTGCTGCTCATGATGATGTTGTTGCTGCTGTTGTTGTTGCTGTCGTCTTTGTTCTTCAAGATATTCATCGCGTTGCTGCTGCTGCTGCTGTTGTTGTTGTTGTTGTTGTTGTGGTGGTGGTGGTGGTAGTGGTTGTGGTTGTGGTAGTGGTAGTGGTTGTAGTTGTGGTTGTAGTTGTGGTTGTAGTTGTAGTTGTGGTTGTAGTTGTGGTTGTAGTTGTGGTTGTGGTTGTGGTAGTTGTTGTTGTTGCTGTCGTCTTTGTTCTTCAAGATATTCATCGCGTTGCTGCTGCTGTTGTTGTTGCTGGTGTCGCCTCTGTATTTCCAAATCGTTTTCAGACGTTCTATCTTTCACGTTTTCGCAATCAAACTTCATGTTCAATAAACCTTTTGAATTTGCTCTTATCTCTTCAAAGCAAAATTCGTCATCATCAGCGTATACACTATATACGTCTGCTGCCACTTTGTCACCAAATTGCTTAATCTCTGCTAATATCATGGAAGTTGATTTCATGTGACAACGAGGATATGGTACGCATTTAGTTGGTTCTCTACTCGGATTTTGAGTATTCGAGGTAACATTCCGAGTGTCATTATGTTTCGATTGCGAATTGTCTACTTTTGTCGAGGTATTCACGTCAGGAGGCTGCTCTACAACGGATGATTGAACTTCTCTTACTTCTTCTTTATCGCAATAGACTTGGAACTTCTCGGACAATGGTGTACGAGGACTACGACCCATGGGAAGAGTGACGCCTTTCCATTTTGTAGACTCTTGAATATTCTCTTGTCTGCGCGAAAGCTCTGTTCCATAGTCACGCCACGGTGTATTCGAAATTGGGCCGTCCAAAACTGTACTAGCACGTTGCCCATCCGGATCATAGTATATAGGCAGCTTCCTATCCGATATACCACTAGCCATGCCTCCTTGCCTACTCCCTGCCTCATTTCCGGATTGCAGCGCACTGCTTTTATTCAGGTCCCTCGCATTAAAGACATTTTGTGGAGCTGATCGCGTAGACGATGCGCTTGTTTTTACTCCCAGTACAGTTCGACGTGGGTTCTCCGCAAGAGGATCTAAAGACTGCACATCTTCCGTTTCAGCCGGGTTGTATGAGACGGTAACGCGTGCTTGAAATGCTGCAAAACGACGTTTTAGTCTTTCAAGCGGTCTCGCACGACGGTGTATGCCCAATTGATATATTTGATCCGCTTCTTTGAATCTAGTGTGAAATGGAGTCAAAATTTACTCATTATTAGTGATTAATAAATGCTTAAAGTCCAGCAAACCCGCATACGGTCATACATGATTTTCATGCGTAAAGCATGAAATGAATCGAGTCCAGTGCGTATAATCACCTTTTCACGCTCTCTAGTAATGCCCCGTACTCTTCGTAAAAGGCAGCCAGATCTTGTCCGATCTCGTTATTCTCCAAAAACACAAATATGTCCCTTGGATGTTCGACATACTTTGCATATAGTAACCAAAGCCTTAAATATCTCGGATCCTTCTTATACCTCTCATCGTCTTTAAACGTCCTCGTTGCCCTTTCTAATAAAGGTATTAAGTTCGATTCGTGGTTATGTCCCTGTGGATAGTTCTCGATAGTCCATTTAATATATCTGTTAAATACGTCAAGTGGGTCATCGAGTTCATCGAGGGTGTCCAACTCGGCAGCAAAAGTTGCGTGAGCGGATGCTAGCTGGGTGGTGCGTAGAGCATGGTCTTTGGAAAATACTTCTGACAATGACGCTGCACTGCGACCTTCTTTCAGAGGTAGAATGTTTTCTTTTTGGTGTTCGAAGGAAGAAAACTCTGGTATATTGTGTCTAAAAGGTGAAGGGGAAAGCTGAGATGAATTGACGAGAGAAGAGCGATTCCGAGCATCCATGGGTAAGGATGTGAGAGAAATATGTTTATAAAATCATGGATAAATTGGGTCGATATAATAAATAATAAATAATTCATGTTTGGATTAGATGTGACGCGTCTTAATGTCCCAATTGATTAATTAAGTTGTCTCCTGTGTTTTCTGTATACGCGATTGTTATTTGTGGCGTTAGCTTGCCTTACGAAAATCTTGTACAAATATATTTCGACGCCACAAATTAGCAGAATAACTTCGGATGGTAACCTCATGGGACCAAAGCATATCTTCGAATTAACGATGCCCCCAATATTGTCACTAAACTTTATTCAGTAATTTATCCAAATCGCGCACATATCGTCTACCGGCTCTTGTAAACATTTTTCTCGCTCTGAAAAAGAAATATGGTGGGTGGTTTGGATCTTTACTAATACTAAGATATTCAGCTTTACTATTACGTTTTAGGATATCATGTACAGTCGATTCACCAATTTCAAATTGAGCTTCTAGCATTTGGTTCTTGATGTTCGAATTTTCTCTCTTGATATTACACAGTTCAATCTTCTCAGTACTTAGTTAATTTTTTTTTCGTTTTATTACGATTCTCTGTAGGGGTTTTCGCTTTTGTTTGTTTATTATTGAAAAATAAAATCGAATTGCAAACTGATGAAATCTTTAATTTTCGGATTAAGGGGTAAATTTAACATGCCATCTCTCCACCTACGGATTACAGTAATTTTATTATAGAATTTCGGATTATCAAAGTATTTTTGTTAATAATAATAATAATAATAATAATAATAATAATAATAATGAATTGGGAACATTAAATTTCTTCGGATTAACGAGGTTCGGATTAATGAGGTTGACTACGTACTATAATTCTTTAAATAGTAGAAATTTACTGAGTAGTACGCTAGTCTTATAACACTTAGTTCACATTCCATAGACACCGCTTTATTTTATGGTTATATTGAAATGCTTTAATTGTTTTTACATGTCCAGCTTTTAGCCTTAGTCCGTACTAATACTTGACTGTTAATCTTGACTCCAGCAATCGGCGGCTGGGTTTAGCCGAAGTAACTATTTTTTAGCCAGACCTTTCTTTACCATTGCATACTAATACGATAATATACGTCTCTGTTGTTTTTATTTTCATGCTACGTTTGCGCTAGTAATTAAAATCATAATTAAGCTATAGCTTTGTTAGTTTGGAAATCTTCAGCTAATCTTTAACTAACATTTCACGGAATAAGACCTTTATATGGTAAAAGTAAATAAATTAGTTTATGTTTATCTTAAGTAATTTTCCTTCGACTCTCGTTAGTTGCTCTCATGTAAAGTTGTCAATGCTATTTAGCACTTGTAATGTTTACTACCTACTTTACCGTTTCTAAAATAAGCAGACTGAGACTAAAATTTGAAGCTTTCTTGTTTTTTCTACAAATTGCATACAATAACAAGTAAAATAAGACTATTTTAATATAAACATTTGAACAGCATTGTTATGACCATTTCTCATTGATAAAATCTATTAATGTTAATACACACATTCCTTCTTCGTTAAATGGGGTATGTTGCAACAAAACCAGACGAAATGAACATTCTGTTTTGTGACATAAATGAGAGGCTGATGTGACTAAAAAATCAATGTGACATTTGGGAAGGGTTTGGGTTAGCGGCGCAGCTATGGCTTAGACATTATTTATAGACTATCTTAGAATGTTATGGAAATATAATTAAAACTGGTATGCATAGTTATTTACTCACAGTTATAACACGTTTCATATAGACCTATCTCTATACAAAAAATATTGATATGAAACTCATTTATATCAAATCTACTATAGAATCGAAAAATTACAGCACCATTAAAAGTATTTAAAGAAAGCTCAAGGAGAAAAAATTGCTCCGTACGTTTTCAAAATCAATGATATCTAAATTATTTAAATGAAGAAAAAATCTACTTATAAAATTTACCAAAATACGCGGGGTGGTTAAAACATTTTGATTGTCTAATATTTATTCAAAAATGTACATAATAATTTACAATGAATTACACAAATAGTTTCTATACCAATTTTCAACAGTCTCTTCCAATCCTCGGAGAATTTGTAATAGTCCTCCTCTTTTAGGATGCTGCTGACCACTGCCCACAATATTGTTACGGACGGCAATTGTTTGGTTGGGAAAGCCAATTAAATCTTTGGCGTAGGCGTGTTCACCGACCGGGAATTTGGCAATTTTAGACTCAGCGGTTCACTGCCCTTACTATAATGATGTCTTTTTGACTGAATGCTTCGTCTACAAGTGACCTAAATTAAATTTTTGTGCACGTTTCTCATTGCCTATACAATGTACTTTATGTACTCGTATCCGGATAAGGGTAACCGTAGTAAATTGTTTAACAACTATAGTTTACGATAAAATCGAAGGGGAATTATTTATTCTAATTTAAACAGGGTGGTCTTTGATCCGGTGTATTGACCAATCAGTTTATCCGTCACTTGTTTCCTAGACTAATTAAACAATTTAAAAATTGTTATCGACGCGCCACAATAATTAACTAAACTGGCTTTCAGTTATTCACGTAATCGCTCAGCGGACAGTTTCGCAAACCTGAATAGGCTCTCAAAAAAGGAATTCTAGATATTAAATTTCTGAGTTAGGAAAAACTATAGCTGCAGTAGTGGTTTTAAGACAAATTTCTAAAGGTCATATAGCACTGCCATGCTGACACCTTTGAGGAAATAACTAGGCAAGAATGATCAGATATTTTACCCTACAGGGTTAGTATACCAATTGTGAACGGCGATTTGATCATATGATTGCTGCGGTATGATGATCATTTCGAATGCGAGGTCCGAAACACTAATTTTATTGGACATTAATTAGAAATTAGTCACGAAAAGCTTAAATACCCTCTCTGTCCCCGACGCAGTCTCATGTTCTGAGGCTGAGCTTCAATGACTTGAAAATAACTGATAAACTAAATACACAAATATTTGCGGGAGATCTTTCCAAAAATGTATATCAGCTGATATGAATATTGATATAAACCACCGTCGCGTCCTCACCGTCATAATTTGACGCGTCAGGTATTATATACTAATACAGGCGTCAAATGACCTTACTCCACAAGACACATACCTCTCTCCCTTTGTCTAAACATAAGAGTTCTTTCACCTCTTCCGCCATACTTATTCTCCATATTGTCTAACGCAACGACAGCATACCACTTTTCATATCTAGCCTGCACATTCAACACAAATTGTTATGGCATCATCCATGGAGAACTCGGAACAGTCTTTCTACAACTCACCTACCTCTACTCTACCTGCCCCACATCTGTTTCCTCTTTCTTCTCCAACAACACCAGCCACTTCATGCAAATCCAGTACGATTCACTCAAACAACTATCTCACTCCACAATGGATGCATGCACGACCAGTTCAGAGTGCTTTTATGTCAACTGGTTTATTACTGAAGAAAAATAAACAAAAAGCCCATTCAAGTGCAATTGCATGTACTGTACCTGGAACTCCGAACAAGGGTACTCCAGAAAACCTAATGTCGCGATTCCAGTGTGATTCACCTGGAGCCACTTGTCCAGGCACACCTATCCGTGAATTCGGAAGGGATGATATATTGGAATACTCGCCGAATTCGCCGAGTATGCCAGAAACTCCCCTGCGTAGATTTTCTACTTGTCAAAGACTGTCTACACCAGGTTCATTTCCGAGCTATCCAAGTACACCAGTGCCCTGCTCTGCTGACACTTCAGACTTCGCTTCTTTATCACCCTTCGTGGCGACATCTCCACACAACGTAGGGAGCACCGACTTTCTGAGAAGATTATCAAATAAGGTGTCATTGTCTACCAAAGCGCGTGACTACGTCACGATGTATCCGAGGTTTCTGAATCTGAAATATCTTGAACATGAGAGGCGTTATTCCGGTATATACATATCAGATATTTATTTGTTGTGGTCATATACACGTAAAATTGATAATAATTTTATTAAGAATCTGGAATTTGTGGTAATAAAGACAACAACAACGGGCGGACTTTCAGCACTTATTTAGACCGAAGCTTTGAAATAATTAGTTTACTTGGATCGGGGGAATTCTCGGATGCATATGAAGTATGCGATAAAAGGTCTGGCCAATACTATGCAATAAAAAAAACCAAGCTCAAATATGCTGGACTATCAGACAGGTTAATCGCATGATCTGATATTTACTATATTGCAAATATTTCGAATAACACTTGCTTATCGTTCAACAGACGCAAACGTCTCGAGGAAGTAGAAATAATGTGGAAACTTGAACCACATCCACATTGTGTACAGTTAATCCAAGCATGGGAAGAGAGAGGCCACTTGTATCTACAATTAGAACTATGCGATAACGGCAGGTTATTATTAATTGTTAATACATACATCATTCTCGAAGACGAAACCCGTTCACTGATTTCTTCTTCAGTCTGTACGAATTTATAGACAATTACTGTGCTGAAGAACAAATAGATGAAATTAGAATATGGAAAATACTAACAGATCTCGCATTGGTGAGCATATGGACCAGCACGTTTGTTTGATTATATCCACTAAACTCATCGGACCGTTGTTAATAAAGGGTATCAAACACATCCATGATCATAATATCGTTCATCTCGATCTTAAGCCGGCAAATATATTTATTACAAAGCAACTGTGTCTCAAGATAGGTGACTTTGGTTTAGCAACAGAGTTACCATTGGTAAGCATACTTGAATTACTTTCCTTGTGCGCGTAAAAATGTCAACGTTGAGATTGTATTGGTCTATTCTGTAGAGAGAAGATATTGAAGACAGAGAGGGAGATCGTGAATATATATCGTTAGAAGCGTTAAATGGGCATTATGGTAAAGAAGCCGACATTTTCAGGTATGACATTGTAGAACAACGGATAATAATGAAAATGTTGTACTTGTTAGTAATCACTTCAAACTTATAGTCTTACTGACATAATCGCATTCGTGCACCAGTCTTGGTTTGATAATCTTCGAACTAGCAGCAAGTATCATCCTCCCAGATAATGGCCCAGAATGGGATAAACTTCGCTCTGGTATTATAAGAGACTTTCACTTCATCTCAATCTCATCCACACTCGTTGCCCTTATCGAAAGCATGCTTAGGCCAGACTATAAACAGAGACCCACTGCTGATGAGATATTGTCTCATCCAGTAGTACAATTTATTGTGAAAAGTAGAGAGAATGGATTGATGGTAAAGGGGACATTGGACGTCGACGATCATGTAATCATCGAGAGTGTAAAGAATGTGATTGAGTCATGTGAAGACAAGAGCATATGGGAAAAAGAAGAAGACAGTGCCAACATTTTTGAGGATGGTGGAGAGAAGTAGCGTTGCGGTGAGTGAAAGGAAAAGAGTAGAATAATTAGGAAAGTGAAGTGACGATGGCATTAATGTAATTATGTAATAATAAAGCGCCATAATAATAGCATAAGTTTGTTTTGCCGCGTAGTTCTAATTGGTATGAGCACGTGGTGATAGAGCATAGACACACACAAGATGTTATATATTAGAGCTAATTATCGTTACTACGACAACAGGATTAAAGAATGTATTGAGCATGATTTAAGGTACTGAAACACGCATGAAATACGTAGCTTACCGATAATTACATAGTATCTGTTAGGACAAACATGTTGCTTATTATACAGATGGTACTCCCATTGGCTCATGCTCAGTAATTTGCCGTTTTCTTTCTTCCTTCAGCCCAGAGATTGATTATTAAGGCCACGCTATTACTAACATTGCGCCACGAAAAGAAATCACGATCTTCAACGCTTGCACTATTGTTTAGAGCTGTCATTAAAAATTACTTTTCGCCTCTTCCAATGGCATCAATTGCATTTATAAATCGTTTGCTAGCAATTGACTTGGATCCATCGAGGTTGTAAAATGGGTTGCATACTTGATTTATATATGCTGTATGTATCTTGCGGAATATCTAGTAATAAAAGGAGAGCATAAGATGTTGTGTTTGTTTTATTTCTAATTCTTCGTTCGTACTTACGGCCTTTATATCAGAATCTTTAATTAAAATATCGGGCACTTCTACAACCACTATAAATTTCACCCTGGTATTGGACAACCACCCATATCTAGAGGGAACAGACAGCAATTAACAAATCAACAAGGAGAGGAGAGGAATAACGGATATTACGTATATAATAGTTACATAGCCAGATCTTCCATAGCATACAACAATCCAAGATAAGTATCTGTCAGTTTAGGAGCCGCACTGACTGTATATGTGTACCAGAATCCGGTATGAATAACTTGAGGCACAATACCAATAGCAAAAACAAGCAACAGCAATACTTGCCTCGTTCTTCAATCACATCGCAAGATGTATGAGCAATGTAATGATACTTTAAGTCAGGGTGTCTCGTACTAAAATTACGAACGTATAGTGGGTTGTTCTTTAGATGTAAGATAAAGGTAATCGGGTTATGAGACAATTAATGTTTGGATTCAGCGCACACAATCTCAGCCTCAAATTAATAAAAGATAATGCCCAACACAGTATCGTTTTTCCATAGCGCGTTTTTTTACCTGCTTTCCAATTATCGCGATACATTGGATTTTAATAGTATTATTGCTTGCCATCAAAGTAAAAGAACTTTATTTGGGGCTGTCCAGAAAATCCATCTTTTATTATCACCCGATTGCAAACTCTAATTGGCCGACCTTACATCATAGTTACACCCTTCCCAACACGTTTATATCAGTATCCGCTTCTAACAGGAAAAGTATTTCTCACCACTCGACTATTACCGTTTTCACTTTAAAGATCTAACATGTCGTGGCAAGGGTAAGTAATACGGACAGAAAGGGAGAAACGAGGGTGGTAATGCAAGTGGAGAAAACATTAGCTACTCGAGAGATGTTTACATACTTTGGACATACTCTCTTGACCCAATTACTGACGTATTTATATCTTGCGACAAACACATAGATATGTTGATAATAATCTTGTTGGCACAGGGAAGATAGCTTCCGCTGCTATATATGGACATGATGGGTCGGCTTGGGCAACGTCGCCTGATTTCAGCGTAAGTTTTCAGGAAATAATTATGGATTTATGAATTCTTTTGCGAATAGATTGAGCATCGTTTGGTCTTTATTAGCGGCCAACAGTGAATTCATCGTGGATTGGGTTTGCAAAAATGTTGTATTTGGAGTAAGCTTCTTGTTAGATCATATGCTTAGAATGATTGGATGTTTCAACTCTGACAATTGTTTTTCCCCTCCTCTCCCTGTTGGTTGCTTACGATTCAAACAATTCTCATTACTTTATTTGACTAGTTAAAGCCAGCCGAGTTTCGTGCTCTTTTTGATGGCTTCAAGGATGAAAATTCACCACTCTTTGGGACTGGAATCCGTGCGAATGCAGTAAAATACTATACTTTGAGGGCTGATAGTCGTAGTTGCTATGGAAAACTGGTATAGTGCAATGCAGTATATGCATTTTTTTTTACGACCAGCTCGGGTCAATGCTAAGCAAAACCCGTGTTACATTGTAGGGAAATGATGGTGTTGTTGCCGTCAAGACAAAACAGGCTGTATTGATCGGCACTTATAAGGAACCTACACAGCCTGGGGAAGCAACCGTCATTGTTGAAAACTTAGCTGACTATTTGATCGGAGTAGGCTATGTCAGTAACAACTCTAACCGCTCGTTATCTGCTTGATGTTAAATGCGCTCTATTAACTTGTATACCTTCTTTTTTCCTTCCTCTCCAGTGACATAAACGGATAAGGACATGCGATGTCTTGATATTAATACAACACATAGCACTCAGAGAGCAATTCATTTATAAGAACTTATAAATAATGCTTTATTTTATTTTTTATTTTTTTTGTAAACGTTAAAGAGCAAATCTGGCCTTGAAATTCAAAAACAATAAGTAATTTGAGAAATGTTATATGGAAGTCATGCGTAGGAAACTTTTCATTATACTAATACTGCCATGTGTGTAGAGTTTGATGATTTATGTTTACATGCTTTTATCCATCGTTTGACTCATCATCAACGTCGTCGCCATCGACATCACGGATATCATCATCACTCACTTCGTCACCCTCATCATCATAGTCATCACTCTCATCATCATCATTATCATCATCATAGTCATCACTCTCATTGTCATCATTATAATCACCGCTCGCATCATTATCAACAATATCATCACCCCCGCTCTCATCATTGTCATCATCTTCTTCTTCCTCGTCGTCATCAAGAACTCCCATAGTGACCAGTTGTGTGCGTAATCCATCATTATCTGATGAACAAAACCCGATTGCAAAACAGTCAGGTTAAACCCATATCCGGATAAAAATTTACTTCCCTTGTTTTATTACCTGGATTCTTCTCGAATGCCTTTTTTAAATATTCAATACCCAGTTCGAAAGCTTCCATCGTCGTATTCTCGTTGCCGGCAAGTGTCGATTGCAGAATATAAACTTGGCCAAGCTAAAGTAAAAGGCGGAGATTATGAAATACAGGAACTATTAATAAAACATGGCAAAGCAAGTCATACCAAAAAGTTCTATCAAGACTTACCAACTCAGCGTAACTATCCTCACTGTGATCATTTGCAAATTTAAGATTCTTGATCGATTCCGTCAAAAATGACTTTCGATACATAATGACCAATAAGCCAAGAATGTCTCTCATTGGAATTTATGCAAAACAAACAAAAAAAAGAGAAATAAATAAAACAAACCAAACCTCCACCAATGCCTATACCTTTACTTCTTCTGCTGCATCTGCACTTTTACTCATGGCCGAATAATACAGACAAGACCCCTTTAAGCCGGCAATAAATGGATCCTGTTCTTCAGGATTTCCCAAGGTTTGAGCTCTTGTCGCAGATTCCAAATATTCCAACGATAATTCAAATACTTCAGAGCCATAAGCTAATTGGTATGTGTACATTAGCAAGTACGTATAATACAAGTAGCAACAATCATAGCTTTGAACGAACCATGAGGTTGACAGGAAACTCCGTATTCATAATAATCTTTGGCAGCCAAGATAGACTCGGATATATATCGCGACATGTCCGTCGATCTAAAGAGAGAGAGTCCCTGAATTGGTTTTATAAGCTGCAGCTTGTTTTTTTAAGGTAGCTTTTGCATTCCCCATTCAATTATCCCTCAACGATCTTATTGAATATCCAAAGACTTACACGTTCATAGGCCTCTTTTCCATTTAAAAATTCCTTCTGACTCTGACTAAAATTCTCTTCTTTATCCGATTCTCCTTCTTCGTCTCCGGGCGATGGCAAATTCATACGCGCCTTGCACGCAGCGGTCGTTGAGTATGTAAAGCAATATAAATAGCATAAAAACCATTACAAGTGTATATATACTTTGCGTACACATACCAAGGCAATCCTAGCTCTTGCAAGTCCTATCCATGCTTCACCGTCGTCGTTATTCTCGTCAATGACTTTCTCAAACAATTCGATACTTTTCTTGATGTAAGAAATGAGGGGCATATACTTCCCAAATGAAAGACAGCACATTGCATAATCACGTAAAAGTGATGTGTAACTCCCGTATTCTTCTTCTCTTCCCTTTTCTTTTCCCTTGACTAATTTGCTCTTGTCACTTGTTTCTCCCTTTAAATCCTCCTCTTTTCCAATCTTCCTCCTAATTTCCTCTTGTTCTCCTAATGCACGATCAAATTCTCCTATAGCCATGTCATACAATTTCTTCACAATGCCCCCACCATGCTCTTCGGGATTCTCTTTCTCAGACTCTTTTACCGCCATTCTAAACAAATCGCTTGGGCCCGGTGGTGTAGTGCCATCAGTTAGAGCGAAGCTGACTTCTATCTCACCGACATCACAGCCCTCGCACAAGGAATCCTCGCAATTCGGTGCATGCCCAGTGGAATGTCTAGGCTTCCTGGCAGGCGAATGCGGAGACGACAAAAGTGTAGAAGAAAGGTTTGCGGATAACTTGCGTTTTTTGGATGTTGACATTATGATTGAACGTCCTTTTTATGTGAATGAACGATCCAAGGTATAATAATAATAATAACGGTAATTTTGTAAATTCTGTGTCACGGAAACCGTCTTATTTATTTTACACATTGTGCTTATTTATATTTATTATTATATTATATTGTCCCATTCACTCAATAAACCCTCTGGATATCTGTTCAAGAATTTGCTCTTTTCGTTTACATTACGCGGATGTAATGTTTGTTGATTACTAGTATTACAAGTGAAACTCGATATAAGAAGCTCTTGATATAAGAAACACTAATTAAAATTTGATATAAGAAAGTTGAGCTGAAAAACAGTCTATATAAAATTATCTCTATATAAGAAAGTTACTAATAAACTCTTGGTATAAGAAGGATCCTAAGATTTTTTACTATGGGTCCCGATCACTTTCTTATATCGAGAGCCACTTGTATTAGGATTAGTTATAATGAATAGTAAAAGTTACACCTCAAAGTGTTGTCTAGTATTAGTCGCATCCAGGACAGGTGGACAATACATTCGACGGCAACCTTCAATTTCTGCTCGGTCAATTGCTGATATAAGAGTAGACGTCTCCCGCTCAACTGTTACAAGACATTTGACTAGCCTTGAATACTGAACCTTTGTACACTCCAGCCCATAAGCAAAAACGAGTTGATGGGCTCAAAAACACAAGGATGACAATTGGAAAAAAAACCCTATTTAGTGACGAAACATTTTTCAAACGTTGGATAAAAATGCAAGACCGAGATTCGTCCAAAGTTGTACTATCAGTCTCTTCTGTTTTCGCACCTCCCGGAAGTGCGCAATAGGTTACGAGGTAATTGGCGGCTGCAACAAGATAATGATCCTAAGTATACTAGTCGTATTGCTAAGGGATTCCTTGATAAGAATGCCCCAGAGGTTATGAATTGCTCTTCTAATAGTCTAGACCTAAATCCCATTGAAAACCTTTGTGCAATTGTTAAAACGAATGTGGAGTTGCGTAGGCCAAAAAATCTTAGTGAAGTAGAGGTTTTTTGGGAGGAGTTGGGAAATATTCCAAATAGTCTTATCTCGTAAATTCAATGCCTCAGCGCTGTAAAGAGAGAGGTCATTGAAAAAAAAATGGTGAACGAATATTATTAAAACTTTACTACTTTAATCGATGCAATACTTGTGAAACTAACATGATTTTAAGAAAGTTCTAGTTATGTTTGACAACCTGCAATGTCGATCCTGATCTGCACAACATTCAACAAATAAATTTTTTTTAATCGAGCCCAGCTCTGACTGAAATAAGTGAAATATGGGACGTCGGAAATCCAATTATTTGCCGCTCAAAAAATCAAAGCAAGAATCTGAAACGGGAAGTAAGAAATATGACAACAGAGAAAGCAGCCAGATTCAAGCAATAAAAACTTATGAGGACCTGGAAGGAGACGCTGAAGATGAATGTAAGCGCTCAAACTCGATTCAAAGCAAGCATTGACTTGAACAAGCAAGGGCTTTCTCTAATTCGTTCTATTTCAGTCATGAAAGAGCGAGATAAAGTCTTACTCGAAGACGATCTTTATGCTGACGATCTGGATGGCAAGTTAACCAATTTATTTTATGGGATTAGGATGCAATTGGTATGCAAGCACCTAACAAAAGTTTTACTACAGAAGACTCGGATATTTTATCAGAAGAGGAAGTCTTTGCCCTGGACATTGACGAACAACCACCAAAAGACGAGGGTGAAGACGAATATGAGGATGAAGACAATAATTTCAGCATTGATCCCTATACACATCTCTCATCACCTTCGTCTTCAGCTAGCGATGCTGATGATCTCGATACTGACACGTGGGGAACGTCGAGGAAAGCGTACTATGACACTGATAAGATTCAAGACATGGATGAAGCAAGAGAAGAAGAAGCAGAAGCGTTGAGATTACAAAAAAAGAGGATCAACAGAATGAGTGAAGAAGATTTCATAGATGATATATGGACAACTGACGTCAGCGATCATTCTCAAGTAGTTCGCACTTTCGCTGATCTTGTACAGAATTCATCAAATAGTACTGCTCGTCTTGCGTAAGTTATTTGAATTTTTACGCGCTAGATTTAATGCTGACATGCTAAGCCGTATTTCAATTATTCGTCCTGGCAGTGAAGAAGACAAGATGAGCACATCGATGGATATTCATAGTTCGAAACATAATGACGCCGAACTTCTTCCGGAAACAACAAAGCGCGCGATTAATTATCAAATAATGAAGAACAAAGGATTAACACCAGCTCGTAAAAAGGAACAGAGAAATCCGCGAGTGAAACATCGCAAGAAGTTCGAAAGAGCAAAGAAAAGAATTAAAAGTATAAAACGAGTAGTCGCTCCAAAAGTTGGTCCGTATGCCGGGGAACTGACTGGCATCAAAACGAATTTGTCGAGGAGTATCAAGTTCAAGTGAATTTGCAGTACTTTATCGAAACCAGACAATCATTTTATGATCTTGCCGTGACTTAATTTAAACGTTTTCACATCATAATGTTTACATAATTCTCGCATTACGACAAAACAAAAGTAATACATTTTGAAATTAAAAATTTGTTCTAAAATCTAGTTCGAATAATACAAGTCAAAGAACATTATGAAGTCTTAATTAGAAACTTCGACCGATTTCTCTACACTCCGCAGTACAATTATCTTCAACCCTAACTGTTCACCTACCAATCGCTGCCCCTTCGTCTACCTAATTCAAATAATGTTGAACCTCGTCGTCTAGAATTTGTATCGGCGAGGATATCATATTCATCTTCTGTGGACTCTGTAGCACTGGCTCTATTTGCCCCCTCTGCATCTTTGCACGCGATATATTTTAAGACATCCTTTACAGTAACGAGACCCACAAGTTTCCCTGAATGTTCGATGAGTATAACTCGTGGACTATAAATATTAAACAAACAGTTGAGATAGCAGAATATAATGAAATCTGGATGCGGTGCTGAATATCTTACCCCAGTTTTTTGAAAAGATCCATAACAGTCTCCAGTGGAAGACGAGGATGGACCGTTATTGGTGTCTAAAGAAAGGTAACAGATTTATCTTACTGCTTGTTCCAGATCTCAGCAATTGTAATCACAAATCCATTACCTGGTCTATGAATGGTCCAAAGTCTATAAAGTTTGAGGAGCTCTCGCCAAAGTTATCAACGTTTGAATAACTACTATTATCATCTCCATTGAAGAAGCAATGTGCACTGTTGGACACGCCACGGATACGTTTTGCTTTATCTTCAGAAAGAAAGCAGCGTGAGTGTTTTTGCAATTTGCTGAAATTAGAATGATGCTTTATTTGCAACCTTACCTATAGCATATCTGAGTTCGGATCTGCCTATATATCCGAGCAAAATCATGGTTTTCCGGTCTTGAACAACAGGAAATCCTTGGAAGTTTGTCTCGGAAAGCATTTGGTCTATGTATTTGTAGGCGTCACTCTCGATTATTATTCTTTTTGTGTCAATATCCATTCGACTCTCCAATACAAACCTATTTCATCGAGACGTTGTCCTGATGCTGTTATTACTACAAGATCTTTTCTCATGACCGTTGCAACTGTCAAAGACAGACTAGTTAAAATCATATGTACAATTTGTCCTGACACATCCATATTATACTCACCAGGGACACCAAACGAGTATTCTTCCTTGTCAAGAAAAGGAAACCCATTAAGTCGTATCATTTGATCTGCTGTAAACATACTCGGTCAAAGATCATAAACTTGTAACAGCCGCGACACAATCAATGAATAAATGAAGTAACAATAACGAGCACGCCGATCGTCGAAAAGGATATATTCCGCCTTTAGTAAATAGATCTCCTACGGCCTTCGTGGCCATTAAAGTTATCTAAGAGGGATGGGGCTTATAAGCGATGAGCATACAATTAAATGAGAAAAACACACAAGCCTTACCATAGTCGGAAGAATGTAAGTTAAAGCGCCGGTAAGCTCGAACATGATAACTACAATACATACAGTCAGATGCATTATACCGCTACAAGGTATTGAAGACATGGCATTAGATTACAGTAATTACGGTAAAGATTCTTGGAAGAGACTAGTAGAATTATTTTTACCCTAAAGCGGCAGCAGCACCCAAGAATGCATACATTCCAGGTGTGATGCACTTGAGTACGGCAAAATATATCAGTTACCTAGATCAGCATAAGTTGACCAATTGAATGATTCTTATTGACTTACTGATACATCCGGTTTACATGATGCAAATAGAGGAAAAGAAGGGTATGCGCTATAAAATAGAGAGTTAATAAGAGAGGGGGATTCGTGCGATAAATAAGAAAAAAAAAACAGGCTATCAAGTAGAGTCCTTACTGTTGCAATCCCTTCACAATGATTCCTAAAAATCTGCCAAATGTAGCTCCGACGGCCATCGATGGAATGAATATTCCGGCAGGCACCTGCAATGGTTCGACTAAGTTTATATACAGTAAAAAGCAAACTCAATATGGTATGCTTAAAACACTATACCCTTGCACCATAAGAAACTATTGTAAATCCGGTTCTTAAGACGGTTGCCAAGAGTAGTAACCAGGTCATTCTTGACATTTGCGATTCCCTGTTAAAAAGAACAGCGGTCAGCTACCTTGACGTGATACAGACAATACCGTTATGAAAATACCGGCAAGTGGCTATACTTACTGACACAAACTTTCATAACTGTTTGATCCCTCTTCGCACTCGCGAAACAATATTCCAAGAATTTCAGTCATGTCAATTTTCATAAATATGTTGAAATACCCAATCAACGCAGTGAGAAGTGCAAGAACAGTAGCTTCTGCAACACCGTAATCTCGTAAATACTTTTTACGAAATGTTTGAACTTTGAGATTATACTTGGTCACAAAGGCCCCATATAAACCGCCAAATATTCCAAGAAGTATGAAAAAAATGATTTCAAAAAAGTGCCAGTCGCGATCGTAAGTTACGTGGAACATTACGAGTTTGCCAGTGCGAAACGGATTCATAGCCTATAAGCGCAAATATTAGCATAACAAAGTATATTGTTATTTTCCACTAACGGTCCTCAAGTCAAAAAATCCGACCTGTAAAACAACAGTCGCGACCAATGCACAAAAGAAACTTCTCCACATGGTCTTCATTGGAAAATTAGAGCTCATTTCCTGTCGCGTTAAAAAACACGATAAGATATCAGTTTTCTCATATTGCCCTCTATGCGAAATAATTTTCTAACGAGTCCAAAAATTCTTACCTCGAACGAAAACAAAACTCCTCCAATCGGGGATCCAAAAGCAACTGCGACACCAGCTGCGCATGAAGCCGAAAGTATCTCCCGCATTTTAGCTACTCGATAAAAATTATCGTTACAAAAAGGATTTTCATTTATCATTCTCGTTGTCGTATACGTACCTTTATTTCGCTTAAATTTTCCAAACATTCTCGATATGACATTTCCGATACAAACGGCCGTATGTACTGACGGACCCTCTTTCCCGATACTTAAGCCAGACGCGATAGCCAAGGGCTTGTTTGCGTTGCAAATGGTCAGATACGAATTTTAAACATGATCTGTTTTATTTCACTCGGCAATCGTGACTTACCAGTCCAATACTTTTCAGTAATAAAGTCCAAGCACCAAGAAATCCTTTCATAACAAATCCAGCAAGAATGCATTTTATCTCGGATATACCTGACCCAGCGGCATACGGAGCAAATGCTCGAATTATATAGGCACAGACTGCCGCAAAGAGTGTCTATCGAAATACGAAAGCAAGAAAAAAGGTCAGATTAGAATCAAGTTGGGAGGAATCATCGCGCGGATCGCTTTGTGAACGGGGGAAATCTTACGGCAAACATTATATAGAATAACCAGTTGATAATGAAATATTGCGACCAATTGTGCCATTCGTCACAAGACCCATCTACATATCAAAAATAACGTTGTTAAAAAATTTAAAAGTCCAACTCGAAATCAAGGAAAGTAGTTGTCGCGTACCTTCTCGTTCTATTTCCCAACAACAAAACTTTTGGTTCAGCCACCACGAATTTTTACAATAGCCCAGTTTGATATCGGATAGCCATTCTGTTATGATATCGATCAATGCAGCATTGAGACCGATGACTGCGCCTACGATCGACACGACAATCCACGTTTGCCCTGCCTCGTACGATAACCATAGCCATGTACTCCATGAAGATTTATTTTCCAAGGCCACGCGTCGAAGAGCGTTCAGCCTCGATCGCTCTTGTATTGAATCCTGTACCCAATCTGCTCAGAGAATTGGATCAGCGATGGGGGAGCGTTGGCTTATCGGTCAAGGATTAGATAAATGGTTTTTACATCTGACCTATTGTCGTAAAATCTTCATATCTTTTGATTTCTTCCAGGGCTCGATCATGGTTAGCGTTGTAACTAACGTTTCTTGATGTTCGTAGTGTGTTGTGTGCTGGTTGGGTATTTCGTTGTGTGGGGCGTCGTTGTGAGGCAGAAGTATGCAGAGAGTCCCACAAACTACAAAATATGAATATCAAAAAATGATTGCAAGATACTGAGACTGGGACGGTTCTCAAAAAGACTTACGTAATCAATCTATCCAGAAAACTGTTGCCCTGATTTCTGTCCGGGTCCATGATTAACGAAGATAGGAGTGGTGGTTTTGAAATAAACGGAAGAATTTGGAGAGTTGAGTTGTAGTGACACAATCGTAATAACCTAATATTGCCATATTAAGTAAAGCTCAACATTAAACAGCCCGTGTATGCAAGGGTTTCAAAAAGTCGCCGATGATATTTTAGAAGAATTCAGAGACTTCCAGCCTTATGAAATATGAGCAACGAGAATATTAAGATCAGCATTTTGAAGAGTGAATCGAATGGGCCGAACACTTGTGCTACCATAGAATGTTGAATTCGGTTTTTAAACAAAAGATAAAATTCTCCACGAATAAAAGCCTGGCACGTCTAGCCTCGAGCTGTGTATTTTATTTGAATGCTTGAAACACATTTGTTTATGTTTGTAAACAACAAACATTATTAATTATAATAAATTGATCTTTAACAAGATTTTTAATATTCTAAAAATATTTATTGTTGAATAAAAGTCGGCTTTAGGTAAATGGACTGAGGATGTAAACCACAGCTGTTTCAAGATTTACTGTCCTGTAAGGCGCATTGGAAGTTACGCCGATATTAAATAATTTCATTTTAAAGGCGATTTGTGCGGTAAGATAATCAGCGTCTAATTTATCCGTTGAAATATCTCCAAATTCACCAACAGCTACCATCATTATCATTAATTAATAATACTCAACAACCGAAACTAATTTGACAAAGAATGTCAAGTACGATTTTGAAGCTTACTTACTGTATAAGGGTTACTGTTTACAAATTCATGCTCTATCATTGTTAATCGTTAATACTAAGAATTTGCCCACATGCGTATAAATACCATACATGATATTAAATACAATGTTGAATTTGCATATCGACATAACAATGAATATTCGAATAATCGTAAACTCAGCGTAGCGACATACTTTAGGGTGTGAGTTTACAGTAACCAGAATTGTATTAAAACTGTTTAGAGTTATTATGTAATATACTGTTAATGAGGGTATGTTTATGCTGCTGCGAATAGTGGTAATCATGGAGTTGCAATAATTCGGACAAAGACGATACCCTTATCCTCAGAACGTTAAAATAAATGAAAGAAAGTTTTTTGTTAAATCATCAGTATTTTTCTAGTAACAATAATAGTGGTAAGTTTAAAGCGTTTAATTTCTATCAATTCGATTATCAATACATACTTACAATTTTTTGGTAAAAGTTTTCATTAATTTTGTTAACAAACTTTTTTTTAGCCCAGAAATTATTTTGACTCGATGAGAAAAGAGAATACAATATACCCTGTCACTATTAGTGTTATTATTTACGTGTAGACAATGCATGGAAAGATAAGACAAGAGAGATGCCAAAGCAACAGGTTGACCAGGCAGATTGTTTTTAAAAGTTCCTTTCCCAATACAACGCAAACGTAGAATTCTACTTCAATTTGTGACTAGCTTTGTATTTAAATAGCTAGAGACCTCGATATAAATACTCTTGCGTTTGATCAAAGCCGTTCAAGCATTTGTTAACATATCGCTTCCAGTTAGTGCAGATTATTCCATAACCACCGATCTAATATCATAAATTTTAGTTTTTACGCATTCGTACACACTGAGAGTATCTTGCAACTTAATTCTTTGTTCACTATTTTTTTTTACTATCACTTTCAAAGTCACAATTAAAATTTTTATTTTTTATTAATTTACAGAAAATTGTCTTTCTGCATTTCGTATTATGAAAGTATAAAGGGCCAAGTCACCTTTGAATTTTAGCACCGGTAATTTAATCGTAAAGATAGCGATAACGTGTAAAACAATATTTTAACTGGCACGTGTATGATTTTAGCATGTACGCAAAACTAGCATACTGTATTGACCATTAAGACAAATATGCAATTTTACGTAGTAAATTAATGCATGAGATTATTTGCATCTGAATAACATATTTGTTGCAGCACTGTATGTCCGCAGTCTATGCGACGTAATACCTAATCAATTATACACGTAACTTGTTATTATCGAGTTTTTAACTGGTGCAAATTTGAAATTATTTTTTTTTCCAGAAACAATATTGCAAAAATAATTGCCTGCGCAATTGTACTTATAAGGTTAGCACCGAGATGTGTTATCTTTCATCTAACTCGCAAGCACGCGTCTAGGCAGACATATACAGTGTGTTACAAAATTATTCGGAATTTTTTACACGTGACATAAACACGTCTAGCACGCTGTGTACGCATGCAATTTATAACGCGTAAAATACAAAACAAAGCTTGCCTTGCGTTTCAAGCTAAAATTTAACGTATTTAACAGTGTCATTATTACAGCAACTTTTAAGATAACTTCGTGTGCAATGCCTCTTTCAAAAGAAGAAACACAGCGTCAGACTATATTACAATTGTGGAATAATGGCATTTGAAATGCCAAACAAATCCATACACAAACCGGTATTGCGCTCAGTACTGTTTATGATAACATCAAAAAACTGAAGAAAACGGGGACAAATCAGCACGCAAAAGCTTACTTGCAAGAAAATGTTCCGGAAATGCTGGAATGGCTGTCCAACAGCCCGGACTTAAATTCCATTGAAAACTTGTGGGCAATTGTGAAAAGAAATGCGGAGAAGAGAATGCCGCAAAATATTGAGGATTTGGAGCAAATTATGAAAGAGGAGTGGCAGAACATTCCAAATAATGTTATAATTAATCTCGTAGACTCAATGTTTAGAGTGTAATCGAGAAAGAATTAATTATTGATTTGTTATTAATAAAATTTGTGTGTTTTTGGCTTTCAAACAAGCCATTTTTGAATCGCTGGTTGTGGTACAACATGATTTTCTTTGATTCCGGATAATTTTGTAACACACTGTATATACACCTAGACACTTTTCTCCGTTTTACACTCCCTTCTCCAAACACTACATTATCTAAAAGTTAAATATATAAAAAACAATTCTTTGTCGCTGCTTTATATTACTCACATACGATAGAGCATGTTATTAACAGCGAAACTCTTAACACATTTATTAACCACATAGCTGATGAGAAAGTTCGAACAAAACGCAACTTCTTATTACGCAAACAAGTTATTAATGGCGAAACTTCTACCACTCAATAACGCGTGTTCTCGTTTGTCAGAAAAAAATATTCGTTTATTTATCGACCACATAATCGATGAGATAGTTCGAACATATTATGCACAGACGAACGATCCAATGGAAGTAGAAACGGAGTTAGTATTAGAGGGACCCATTCGGAGGTTACTTAGCTATTTATGAAGTATTTGTCCTTGAAACTGGTCAAAGGCGAGCGCAACGACTATAGATTATTTATCTTGTTATTTAAATTTTAGTACAATATTAATATTAGCATTAATGTTACATATTTATTATTGTTCCGAAGTAAAAAGATAAAATATCGAATATTGTTGCAAATAAAATTTTACTAATTAAATTTTTTCACTGATTGAATTCAAATTCCCACGTTGAAAGTGTAAACTCGTTCTCAGCAAAAAACTGGTGTGAATTGGTGTTGAGACAGACGTTTTAAATTTATTTGTATTAGTAATAGTAACGGTATCAAAATTCGTAATAACTTGTGCTCTGTCAATGAACGACGGCTCCTTCGTACTCGTTGCAGTCTACGCTTCCTTACTGATTCGGCATTTTAATATTCTAAACATTATTTTCTCTATTTTTTCTTTTACCAAATATCGGATCCATCGTCATGTCTATCAACAGCTTTAATTTTTATGAATAAACACAGTATTATCATAATATCATAATAGAAGCCACAATAATAACAATACTAATACATCTTAATGCTACAAGGAAGGCAATGCGACTACGTAACAACTATGCGATTTCGTCGTATCGGGGATGTATAAATAAGCAGAGATAGACCTACCAGTTAAATCAAATAATAATAACTGTGCTGGTGATCACAAAACCTTCAACCATTATTATTTTATAACAATTAAAGCAATTCTACCATGCCTTGCTTGCAAAGGTAAAGAGATGGAGAAATAATAAAACAAATCCGTAATAGGCCATTTTGTGGTAGTCCCAGTTAATTGTTTGACCACCCCATTTGATTACTCGTATTTGATAGGATGAAAACACGACACAAGATGCGTTACAGCCATCATTTCACAATACTCCAGAGTATTGTTTATGACGCTAAAAAATTTATGAGTTGCTGACGAGACTATGGATTTCTTCGCGAAGCTAAAGAATAAGTTGACGTCTCCTAAAGCGCCGCCTAGCCATGCCGAGCAGCTGGGAAGATTCAATAGTAGCTGGAATGCAGTTAGGGTGAGTTTCGCTAACAAAGAATAGCATTTGTCGATGCCGACACCAGTATACCCGGTCTTTTTTATTGCTTTCGGACTGTCTGATATTTACGATTGATCCTTGCATTATAGTCTATGCTGGAGCCGCCTACCGATGATAAAGACCGAAAACCAGCTCACGCCTCACTGACCGATATCCATAAGCACCTCGAGACTATGGCTGACGCACTCTGTAACGAAAGTCTCAGTTTAGAAGATCAGAATACTGGTCTCTGTATGGAAGAATTCCTACGCAATGATATCCTTCAGAAACTTGTCGATCTCTCTGAACCTGACGTTCCACCTGGTGTTCGTGGTGAGGTTCTCCGGACCGTCGCCTACATGATTGAAATGTTGGACGATCAGTTCCTTGTTCAACGGCCAGTACACGAGCCGACCGTAAAGTTATTGCGGACATGTGTACAAGATCAACAACAAAGTGAGATATACCATGAAGATTTGGTCGATTTAATGTATTACATATGTTGGAAGATGAAGGGGTTTCCGGATCTGCTTAATATTTTCTTCCATGACCGGCATTGGTTGACTACGCCGCAAAAGGCCGCACCGAAAAGTGTGTTGGCTCACGGTGGACAGATGAGTGTTTCGTCCAGTAGCAGTCAAGATGGGAATCCTGACGATGGAGTTTCCGTTACCAGCGGTGGTACTACAACGACACCGTTGAAGACAACAGAATTCACCGAAGAGCCAGAGAAGCCGGAATACGAATTTTTGTTATTCTCTTATCTGTTACGGTTCGTACACAGAGAAGGTCGAAGTGGTGATTTTGCCCGTACCGGTTTGCTGTTTATCATGGATCTGGCTCAAGGTCAATTGGGAGATTTCATTTTAGAGAGTGATTTCGCCACAATTATGGCTGCTGGTTTGGGTGCTCTCTACTCACAGTTGCCTCGTAAATTAATGGTGAAAAGTTCTACTGGTGTACTTACTAGTGCTACGCTGTTGGGCTTTGGAGACAATACCAGTGCGGAAATGGATCGCGCTCGGCAAAATGGTATTGAAGTGTCTTCGTCTCTATCATTCAAAGTGCAACTAGATTCATTCTGCAAGCTGTTGGAATTTTGTCAGGACGTCTTAAACCGTTGTCCGAGTGTTGATATATCCCATGCTCTACTTTCAAATATCAAATCCATTTTTCTTGAAAATATTTTATATCCATCAATTATGGAATGCTCAGATACAGATGGTTCGGCTGTGGCTGTCATATCTTATATTGATATGATTTTACAGTCTATAGAGCAGGAAGAACTGGTTGATGTTATTGTCGGCTTTCTAATGGATTCAGATAATGACAACGAAGATTTTTGGAAGAAAAAGGCTACGAGCAAGGCGCAAAAGCGACAAAGTACTATTAATCTTTTTGCCGGGGTTGAAGCCAGTACAATTACATCGTCACCTTATTTTACCGCAGTTGGTCGATTTACGCTTAAAGATTTGATTTTCTCTCGATTGAAGTCGTCTTCACAACCAACTGTCATCGCCGCTCTCAAATTGCTCCACACAATGATTTCTAAACACTGTAGGTACTCGCTCAGACTTCTCAGTTTCGAACCGGACGAAAGCGCAACGTGTTTCCCTAAACCACACTACTTGGAAGAAATGCGTCAGACAGATTTCTTTGTTCCACCTAATGTTGGTGGACCTCAAAAATTGACAACCATCAGTCATCATTCCAGAGAACTCGATCTATTTTTCTCGCTCATTTCAATAACCGATCCTTCTAATAAATTGGATGTTTTCACTAATGGATACGAAAACTACGTTCGTGATGCTGAGGCAATCATTGAAGCTGATCTTTGTTATCGTAAAGGTCAAGACTTGGAGTGGAATGAGGAAGGACCATGCAAGCCTAAAGTAACGAATAATACAAGACAGAAGATTTTATACAGTCAGAGGGGGGCGGGGAAGCTTTCTTCAACGGGAATATCTGACGTTCCCAGGCATAGGTTGAATCCAACAGACCGGCATAATCCGAGCGATTCGCTCCTGCAAATACTGCTTGGAGCACTAGCTAATTTTTTCGTAAACTCTCCCGAATTAAACCTTGCACTGACTGGTGTCATTTCTGCATTAGCTATGTGTCCTTATAGATCGTTAGAGGGTTGGCTTGTATTCAGTAGTGTTGATCGCATCGATCGTGGAGATCGTCGAGAGGCTACGGCAAAGGATTGGGATATCGATGGTGATTTCAATTCGCTTTCGGTTGGGGACGACAAGCCACTCAACGAGCTGGTTGATGATGACGATGATAAGTCAGTTGACGATAACGCGGATACAACCCCATCTGACGCTAAAGGTCTCGGAGGTGTACCCAAATGGAAAAACTTCCCAATATTTTTTGCTATTTTCAGAACCTTGACAAAACAAGTTGAATACTATCGTAGCATGATTGATGGTTTTGATGAGCATTTGAAGAAACGTAGACAGGGTTTATTGGATACCGAGGATGAGATTGATGAAAACTACTTCCGACAGCCAATTCCAATCAACACACCCCAACAACCATCAAGGAGGCTGAGCAATCCGGCATATCCGTCATCTCTCAGCACAATTGTGAGCAATTCATTTTCTTCCAGTCCGAGCCGTAGGGGAACTACATCATCATTACCAGGACGTAACCAGAAGATACCTTCTGTTCATCGAGCAGATACTGCACCGCCTGCACAATCTTTATCTAACGTGACTACTACTCTTGGTACCCATTCTCGAGAGACGGAGAATATTAAAGTGCAACCACTGTTTCCGGCACATTTCGTTAATGACGATGAGGAGGAGGATGGCGGTGAGTTAGTAGACGAGGATGACGAAGAAGCATTTTTATCCAAAAAGTCTACGAGGACTAAGACAAAGGAAGTTAAACCAAGTGAGATTACGTTGAGTGCCTTGTTAAATAATATTGTGATTCTGGAAGAGGCTATTAAGGAGTTGGTGGCTATCATACAAGTTAGACGAAGTTTAGGTATCGATGAAGTTAGATATCTTTAAATTTATTGATAGAGAATATGTATGTATATATATTAAGATTATGTTAATGTCAAGATTTGAAATAAAGTATTCCATCTGTACATCTCCCATCGTTTATATAATAATCTGAATGTTAAAACGCAAACTGGTAATTAATTATCTATCACATGATGAACCGTCTACATCGTTTTCCGGATAAAAGATCAATAGGAACGTGACTCAACGATGAACACTCGGATGCAAAAAGGGATAATCAGATTTATTCATGGTGAGAGAGCGAATAAACGGAGAGCACCATCTCTAGTTGAAAACTTGTTCTTATTTATAGCTTTTATAGAATTATTTAATGTATCAAGATCCCTTTTAATGCAAAAAAAAAAAAAAACACCTTTAGCGTTCAATCGTTACGTGTTATCAAGGAACGCAAATCTTCACAGTGAGAACGGCTTACTCACATAAACTACAGTAATTATAATTAAGGAGGAGCTTTCCCTTTTGAGAGTTAGCCTCTGGAGGAATTGTGCAAATCAGAGGACATCGAATACTCAGCTTGTCATTGGAAGAGAGACGTAGATATACAATGGAAACAGAGAGGAAACGCGCCGAAATTTCAAAGTCGAACAACGTGTAAAGAATTTCGGCAATTTGTTCATTGTTTTTTTTTAAGCGAGAGGGTCGGAGGAGTCTACCAACGTCTACCACGTCCACCACCGCGGAATCCACCGCGTGAACTTCCGCCACCGCGACTACCGAAACCGCCACCGCGACCACCGTAATTGCCACGACTATTGCCAAAATTACCACGACCTCCAAAACTTCCACCGCGACCACCACGTCCGCGACCCCCGCGTCCTACTCAAGTAAGATTTGACTTAGCATCAGGGATGACTAGAACTGCTATCATTTGCTGTAGTAAAACGAAGAGACAAGGACTAATTCGTTATCTTTATAAATAGGAATATGTAACTTACCGCGTCCTCGATCCCCTTTCCCTTTAGGACCTGAATGAGACCAAAATAACGTTTAATTACTCGTTCTGCTTCGATTCTCACAAATGATTCCATTCATTTATCGTGACCAAGTTTTATTACCTTTAACTTTGGGCACTGGTGTTTTTGGTAGGAACCTCTCCAATGGCAAAAGTTTATCTTCTGCTATGTAAACCTTGTCCTTTGACTTGAAAGATTTTGCCAATATGTTTTCCTGTAATTTGACTGTGAAATAAACATCTTCTATTCGTCCTAATATTTCATCTACTTTCCCTATCTGTTGCTTGTTCTCTAAATATATGGGTGCATTAAAGTACGGAATTTTGGGATTTGACGAGCGACAGACCATATCACCTTCACATTCATGAAGATAGTAACCCATTTCTGCGAAGAGAAGAAACCACGAATGTTTTCAACAATTATACAAATTGTAGTAAATTAATCACGACAATCACGAGAATAATTAAATCATACCGAGGACATGGCTCGGTGGGCCTTGAGGTTGGGCCATAGCCCCACGACCTAAAGAATGTGCAAATATTGAATGTGACTCTGTTCGCAAAATAACATAATCGACGAAAAAGAGATAAAAATATTACCCCTTCCTGAATATCCACCACGCCCACGTCCAGAGCCCCCGCGAGCTCCAAAGTTTCCTCGTGACATTTGCAAACGAAAGTGGAGAGAGCGCGGATTTGTGGTTTGGGTAATGAAGTTTTTGGTTGTCCAGTATTAGAATGTAAAAAAGCTTAAAAATTTTGGTGATCAGGGTTACACAACCATAAATAATTTGAATGAAGGATTGAAAAAAACTCTTTGCCAACCACATAATATTTTAAGAAGGTTATTATTCAATAAGAGCCGACGAATACAGGAGTCTGCTGACGAGCCTGCTAAACACATTACATGTTACTAAATAAGGTGACTCGACAATAATTGATGAGGATCACGTCCAATTCACGATCAAGTTTTACCGCTACAACAGAAGCAGTGCTACCCCTGTATTCATAATCTACTACCTTTCTATAACAACTTTATTCTTTATGTATTCTTTACACTCGTCCTTCGTTCCTTCAGGATGTTCAAGCTGCCATTCCATCACTGAATTCATAATGCTTTTGAATTGTTCGCTTGGTTTAATATTAAGTAATGTAGATATTTCTTTCCCCTGCATAATATTTTCGTGTTAATAAAGAATATTTGAATTTCATTAACGCGTAACTGTCTCTTACATTAATGATATGATTCAACAAGTAACAATCTATTAGGCCGAGTTTTGTTGCATGAGCCATCAATTTATTGTATTTTTGCACAACTTTCAATGCCTCGTCGACTATAAAAACAATCATATTAGTTCTATAATCTTGCGACATTTTCTGAATTGTCACCAAACGTACCCGAGCCCGCATCTATATTTTCTCTTTCCGGTAAGAGGTCGATCGCCAATGCCAGAATTACCGCTGTTGGCCACTTTTCCCTCATGTACTTTGGCATGCCAACCTCTCGTATAAGCAATCCTATAACAATAACGGCTCAATCAATTTATTCAGTAAATCAATACACAGAACATAATGGAATCTGATTACCTAATTCTAGTCTGCTTATGCCGCCTTCTTCTGAATGTTTTTGTACTGCCTTCCGTATCACTTCTATCGCCACAAACAGCTTGTGTGTGATGTCTGCGTTGACATTTGCCAGCTAATAATAAGTAATAGTATTAATGCCATGTGTCATGATGATCTATTTCAGTAAGGCATAGTCCTCTATACCTTCAGGCTTTCCCGTATAACGTAGTTGGATGCCGGAACCATCTTTCTCTTTTCCAGAATTACTATATCCTTGTACGGCAACAGAATGGATGCCAGATATAAGGATTTTATCTCGTCCGTTGATCGATTTTTGAAAAGCTCATGCAACTCATCGTCTGCGGTGAGTTGAAAAATCCTACAACAGGTTGAACCCGATATCAGATTATGCTGTAATCCGTTACCTATTATGTCAGAATAAAATCCATACCATTTGATAACTCGCGCAACGTTTAGACCATATTCCGGATTTCGCATTGATCCATTTACAATTAGTTCTCTAGGAGGCGATGCGAATACAGTTTTATACAATCCCAACGAATACAGGAATTCGAATGAGCGCAGCGGATTACGTTCTGAAGGGACAAGTACGTTGAGCAGAGTGACAAATAACGCTATAAACCCTCATTCATATCATTACCAATCATTTTTGATATCTCGATGCCAATACGCTCAGGAGAAACTTTTGATCTTATGGCGTTCTGATTAAGAAGCATATTGTTATTCACCATTCGAAAAAATAATTATGCTTACAAATTCACTAACCCGAATAGTTTCTGTTTGTATAGTCTCTTTGATCTCGTCCGTAATATCGAAATCGAATCTGCTTGCGAATCGGATGCAACGAAGGACGCGGAGAGGGTCGTCTTCAAATGTTTGAAAAGCAGGTAATGGGGTTCGGATTAAACCTGCTTCTAGATCTGGGATACCCTTAACATGAATAAAAAGACAACAAAGTCGAGTTCAAGAGTGGATGTCTCAAAATGGCATTATGTTTCTAATCATTGCGGTAAAATATTACTTTTCCTGTAAAGTCTTCTACTTCTCCGGAATGTATATTGTAAAATAACGCGTTGATTGTAATATCACGCCTTCGTGCATCTTCCTCTGGCGTTCCAGGCGTCTAATAAAATATCAATTATTATATTGCACATCGCATGTCATCGCACTTGAACAACTCACTATTTCTGTAGGAGTCCTTGAATTTTTCGCATATACTTCATTTCTCAAATTCACGAAATCAATTTCCAACCCAAAAACTTTTGTCGTTGCTGTTTCAAGATGCTTTGATCTGTCAGGATTTGATTCGATCTTCCCAATGTCGCACACGGAATGCCCTTGCTCCTTAAGAAACTCGTTCAGCCGCTTTGCGAATTCATATCCTGTCATCGAATCGATAGCTACGTCTATGTCATGTGATTTTAAACCTAGGAGCTTATGTAGATAGAAAAGTATTAAGAGCAGACGTGCAGGTTATCTTTAAATAAAAATCTGTGTAGAGTTCACCTTGTCTCTAACCCAGCCTCCGGCTATTCTTAATTGAACAGGCTCTTTTTCTTTCGAATATTCTGCAAATTTGTTTAGCGCAGTACATATTTCCCGCTCTTTATCTGTCAAGATAACCCTCATAGGCTCTTTAGTATGAGGGTTGATTCCATAAGACTTTTCTGCGCCGGACACAACCATCTGTGATTTTTCAGAACGGGAGGTTGACATGTTACGATAAGTAAAAAAAGCTACTGTCAATTTGTATTTATTTGTTTGATGGATGCCGTAATGGGCAGTTCCGCAGCGACCAGTAGTGTACAGTGTAGGCTTGAGATTTGATAGAAATCTCGTCCCCGCCCTTATTGATGCCGATTTTAAGTATACGTGTACGGTATTAAGCCGAATTGAGGCTTTCAAGCAAAATAAAGTATCGGAATGCAAGTTCAATTTTAGCATAAGTATATTAAATATGATATTATTATTTGTTATGAACATTAATGTTGTCACCCAAAGATTGCATGTGTAACTACTACACTACAAACACGCGACTACCCAAATCCCTGATTTTAAAAAATGAAATTTTTGATCTCGGCCTGTTCGTCAGGTCAACATCTACACATTGGAATTGCTCGTACGATCTATTCTAATATGTCATGCTATAAATACAAACATATATCCAATGATTTAATCAACATTCAGCATTACAGATACAAAAGTGATGTTGGAGTAGAACGGAACAAACCCCCTCCTCGCACGCTTGTCTATGTCGGACCATTCGCTGATCAGATAAAGCAATTTAAGCTTTATTCTTTACTCCTGTCAGCTTGTGGATGCATCTCTATTCCAACCATAATGATCTATGGCAAAGAACCGTTGATTGGATCTCTCGTAGGTAATATAAATGTATTTGTGTTGGATGACCAATGTTTGCTTGTTACTCACAACCCCAATTTATCGACAGCTGGGCTTTCAACTATAGCGCCAACGTTCTTTGTGAATTATTTGACAGCTGCCTATGTGACACGCCTATATGTAGATTCTCCTACTGCAACGCCAAAAACTAAACCTAATCCATCAACTGTACTTACAATAGAGACATTCACATATTTTGGTCGCCTGCAAGAGACTAAAGTTAAACTCGGCGACCTGAAAGAGTCAAAATCTCGATATCGATGGATTACATGGGTGAGAGATCCCCATACAACCGGAAAAAGAGCATTTTATATTGAGAAAGCTTTAATGAGGAAGACTTCATACTTGAAAGCTATAGTCGACTTGATAGAGGAGAGATCAAAGGATAAAGAATCTATCAAGCAATCTGAATATCGGTAGTATGGATTTTTGATTCCATATATTGTAAGCCCACACATGCTTTAGTGCGAAAACGGGTCGTCTCGGACCAATGTGAGCATGTTGCTTCAAAGTATTGACGTGACGCCACAACAGTTCCCCTTCTTCTTTAATATTGGTGCGAATACTTTAATAGCCCTGAGCTCAGTTAGGGTCAACTTTTATTGGCCGATACGCAAATTTACTCGGAACTGGATACTTTATTAGCCTATTCAGTAACATGTCGGTTAATCAAGTTTTGTCGCTGGTAACCAATTTTAAATGGTATGATTTTGGTCTATGTGAAGAATAAAATCCGTATTAATATCCATATAATAGTCAGTTTCGCAAACAATTATCAACTTAACCCACCTTGTCAGATAATCAAATCCAAACTTGGATAACGTGCATCCGCGCCCTGAATTCTTAACACCAACCCAGGCCAATGCCGGATCCAAGTCTACAGGATACTTATTGTGAGAAAATTCCGCCTGCCGTTATAATATCTAATAACAGTTGTACTTACAATCACAGCGATTCATAAACCACGTTCCGGTATCTATTTCGTTTCCGATAGCAATGGCAGCATCAACATCCTTGGTCCAAATGCTTGCTGTCAAGCCAAATTCAGAGTCATTCATCAATTGAATTGCCTCTTCGTCAGATTTGACCTATGTATAAATACACGGATTTGTAACCATCATTGGTAAATCAAAGAAATTTTGCATTTTAGAGTTTTTTTGTCAACCTTCATGATACCAATGACCGGACCAAAACTTTCTTCAGTCATAACTCTCATTGAATGATTTACGTCAACGAGAACCTGTGGTGCCATATATGGTGTATTATCCTGCATCAAACGTTGGTAAGAAATTTGAATTTAAAATATTGCGTGCCTAAGCCTCTAACCAAAAGAAAATATAACCTCTTATCATAATACATGATCCTATATCGATACCAAATCTACCGATATATAATTAAACTGACCTTGTCTGCGGGGAAAAGACTTTTGTCTATCAACGGTTTCGCGCCCATTTTTACTATAAGCATAAGTATATTAGACCCGAAGCAAATGCAATCACAACGAAAACGTATATGTATGCCTACCAGCATCGTTGATCTGTCCACGAACAAAGTCAGCAGCCTTTGTACGTACCATTGGACCAAGCGTCACTTCTGAATCTAATGGATTTCCCAATTTGTATTGCTTTATTCAATAAACAGAAATCATAATTGTGAATACAATTGCGACCATATGATGTCAACAGAAATTGCTAAATGTCAACGTACCTTGGTCAATGCAACAAACTTGTCTAAAAATTTATCGTATATATCCTCATGGACGTATATTCTCTCAATAGCACAACAGCATTGTCCACTATTGAAGAACGATCCATCGACAAGCTGTTCTACTGTGTAATCCAAGTCTGCATCCGGGCGAACGTAAGCAGGATCTTTCCCACCGAGTTCAAGGCCAGTCGCTACGAAAGAAAATATAAAAAAAAAAAGCACAGTTGTGACGTGAGGTTTGATACAAAACAAAACAGTGGTTCAATACTGGACTCACCCATAAATTTTGCGCTGGCGGCTTTCTGGACTTCATGGCCTGCCTCAACTGATCCAGTAAAATTGACGTATGCGATTGATGGATGTTCGATTACCCTTGCTGTCGCGGCATGATCCATGTGTAGATACTTACAGTAGAAATACATTAATAATACATATTGACGGACAGACATACTATTGTTGGACTCACCTGAAATACATTATCGGGGAGCCCAGCTTCCTTGAACGCCTCTGCAAACCTCTCCGCGCAAAGCGGTGTTTGTGCTGATTGTTTGAGAATGACCGTGTTACCTACAAGAGATATGTTGCATGAGCCAAGAGATTCTTGTTGCATAACCTGTAATAATTGCAATGTAATTGTAATTACCCGCCAAAATTGCAGGCACTACACCGTTCACGGAAATCAGATAAGGATAGTTCCATGCTTCAAGATTTCAATAGTAATGTGTGACATAAGATCCATTTAGTTCTTATATTAGGACTTGGGAACAATCGTTGGATTGTTACGAAGCTAACCTGCAATAATGAGAATTGGACCTAACAAAACAACATGGTAATTAGATCAATGGTCTTTCCGCCAGTAAAAGCATCCGTTAATCAACAATAACCTTATGCGTACCCAGTGGCACCTTTTTAATAAATTTCTTGAACTGGGATCCTTCTGAACTCTCAACTTCATAATCCTTCAAACTTTGCTCAGCAATAGATATCATATATTTTGCCCTTTGTACCGTTCCATTAATCTCTCCAGGAGCATACCTTATAGGCCTAGTCGATCCAAACACAAGGAATTAATTAGAACATATTCTATCTATGATTACTCTCGTTTTCGCCGTCGCTTTCTCCTCTTTGTAATAAACCAACCTTCCCATTTGAATAGTCAACTCCTTCGCAATTTCATCCGTCTTTGCTGCAAACGAATCAACAAATTTCGACAGTATTCCGATTCGTGTTTGTATAGGAACGCGTTTCCATTTTTCAAATGCTGCTTCGGACCGTTTAATTGTTTCATCCACTTGTTCGCGCCTTGCAAGTGGGCGTATTACACACGTCGTATTGTCGATAGGCGAGATTGTTGCTCGCTCCTGCATCGTGGGAACTTGAATACAGAAGACGTGTTAAGAGAGAGAAATATTTTACCTATTGTCAGGTCTAGTACCTTGGTGTTTGTGGCTGGGAATAACTGTAGGGAGACTTTTCCCTTACTAAGTAAGAGCTGCCGATCTTAGGATGTTTATTAAAAATTCACTCAGCGGCCTTATCGTAGTGTTTCTAAAAATACCAGGAGTTTCACCGGAATGGCCAGCTACCTCGAGAAGAATTTCTTCGCCACCTGTTGATGCTGTTGTATGGCGATCATATATAATTACGAATTCTCCTTAAATTTGGAGACATCATAAACTTTTCATAATTCTTTGAGAGTGAATTCCTTCATTGTACTATATCAACTCAACGGAACTGACGTTGGATGTAAGAAAAATTTTCTGAATTTTAATTAACTACGCGACTGAACTGTGACGTATGCTCTTACATAGGAAAAAATTACATCGCATCTGTATCCTCTGAATTAGAATCACATTTTTCTATCAATCCTGATCCAACGTGTGAAGAAAAAATGCTAGAAAAATGTAAATGTTGCTTATTATTATAATATAAGGGAAAAAATATACTTCATAGCCTTACTTTGGCCTTGATAAAAGCATTGACTGCTTTGCGACCTTTAATGGCGATGGCTTTGTTTGAATAATGTCACTAACCTTTCTTTTCAAAATCTGATCCTTGTCATTATCATGTTCTACTTTCACAGTACTTTCTAACTCCACCTTAATGACCATCTACATAATTAATTCAGAATGAATAATTGAAAAATTAAAAGATGTAAAAGGTAAAGATAAAGATAAGCTTACAATGAATTCTAGGAATTTAATATCCCGCCATCATCATATACATATGAATCTTGCTCGAATGAGAAGCAACAGTGAAACTCCCAAACTCCTCATATACATATACACCATCCTTCCACATAATAATAATTAACATTTTGATTTCAAACGAATATCTAAGTATACCAAATACAGCATGATTACTGTCGTTGACATCCCCAATTTCCATTGCATATAATATGTGAACATTCAAACAATCTCTCAATGCTCGATATAATAATAATTTGAAAGAATCTATGGAGAGCTTCGTAAGGTCAGGTTTAGTAGGAGGCCCTGCTTGCTCTCTGATAAAATTTCTTCTACTGTCTTCCAAGACCAGGCCAACAGATCAGCAAAATTTCCATCAACTACTTTATATATTGCATGATCAAGTCCATGGTTTTTCTGTATTTATATTTAGATGCAAATACGGGAACTTCCATGCTGAGAAAAATATAAGATAAATTTTAACATAAAATTAAAAACAATGATAAGATATTTCTATTTAAACCTAATACTTACACTCGCCGCATATTCTTGTAAAGCCTTAGAGAAAAAATGATGTCCAAACTCTGACCAATAGTGATGTTTAGTACTGTCTGGAGCACTAATTAATATCCGAAACAGGTTTAAGGAATGATTTGATTCTACAACACAAGATGATATGTGGAATATTGCAATAGGAAATGAAATGATAATAAAACCTTAATCAATACTTACAAAGGCATTATAATTACTCGATACAGGTACCTTTTAAGTCTCTTCACCTCCTCAGTATCTCCAACTTTGTCTACATAAACGGCAAAAATTTTATATCGTTATGAAGCCAATTACCCGTAGTTTTCGAACAAAATACTCGTAAATTTAAGCAAGTTGTTGTAATGGAGCTGTTATCCGCCAAAGTGTTAGTTATGACAAATTGCGTAAATTTATCAGTATTTTGTCCGAAAACTACGGTCAATTTAGCTTCATAACGATATAAAAAATTTTGCCGTTTACTTAGTAAATAACGCCGATACAGATTTTCGAAAATTTAGATTTTTCATATTTTTATCAGGGGTGGTCATAAAATTTTGGCAGCATTAAGAAGTTGGTAGTAAACTTTCGGTAATACGTCAAAGCAGAATATTATAAGGAAAAAGGTAAGATAACAATAAGTTTGTGCTTTGACGTATTACCAAATAAATGATAACAATTCGGCACTACGTGCCTCATCATTGAGCGATATTCGAATGAATTATGTAAAGCTAACAATGCTAACAATTCAGCACTACGTGCCTCATTCTCGGGCATTGCACTGCCCTGAATGCATTGTCAAATATATTTTTTTGTCCATGTGGCTTGATATACAAAATGCGCCACCTTAGTGTGTGTCGTAAAAAGCAAAATACGCGTCACTCGCGTGTGGCCTAAAATGCAAAACGCACATTATACTAGCGCATGTCTCAGCGGTTCTCAAGTGACGATATAACACCAGGTGTGTAGACTTAATAGCCTCAGGTGTGTGGAGTAAATGCAAAATGGGACACCCTTGAGTGTGGCCTAAACTGAATCGCGACACATACCCGAGACTATTTATAGTCTAATCTAAGTCGTTTTTTGTTTATATAAGCAAAAAACGACTACCGATAATTAATTATTCATATGTATAGTTCTTATGTATCTACTTGTTTTTATCACTGTCCTTTTAATAATCGGTTTGTGCGCTGCTTGACGTTGCTACCTCCTTTGTGGGTAATATGACTATATTGTTGTACTAGCGATATTGCTGTTGTAGTTATTAGACATAATCATAGTAATAGTTAAATTGCTAGCCATTTTATTATTAAGATGTTAACATGTAGCGTGTAATCAATACTTAGTATTAGTAGTTTATAATAAACTCACATTTAATTTACATTCCAGAATATTTATTTTTTAAAGTAAATTCCCCCAGACTCAGCCACTAATACAAACGGTAATTTTAAAGAGTTGTTTAGCGATTTTTCCTATCACCCTATGTGCTCTCGAGATTTATACCTAGTGGCAGCATACCATCAGATACATATACTATATATGGGTGATCGCCTGCCCAGATGTGTATTGGTTCGGATCAATCTCAATAAATTTTCGGTATGAATTATTATTGGTATACATAATAATAACAAATTCTACGGGACCAGAGAAAATATTCGTTATAACCAGAATTCCTTATAACGAAGGTCACTTTTTATAGCTAAGATTATGACTATTTATAATTGGCTTAGAGAAAATCTTCGTTA